ATGTGAGATGACCTCATACGGGACGAAATGTGAGATGACCTCATACGGGACGAAATGTGAGATGACCTCATACGGGAAGAAATTTTAAGTTTATAGATTATTGGTTTTAGTAATAGCTTTATTACTTAATCTAATTAATTTTTTTTTTATTAAAAAAAATATTTGTATTTTATAAATCATTGATCACTAAGATTCCTTCATTAAAAATTTATTTATTAATTCACGCGTAGGATACGCATGGACACATCTCTAGTCTTAATCTGTGGAATACTATTTTACAAGGGTACAGAATGCAGTAAAATCTAATTGTCAATTGTACCGGTATTTCTAAATTATACAAATTTTTAAAATTTAATTCTTCGATAATTGTTTTATCAAATTAAGTTAAATTTTTTTATCACTTATAAAAACACTTGATTTAATATACAGTATTGATTAATTTTTTTAAATGTTTGGCTTCAAAATTAATTTTTAATTATATTCTATATATTATTTTTTCTAATTTATTAAAAGTTGGCTCTATCAAATTTACTTATTCTATTTAATTTAAAAATTTAAAATAATTGAACATTATTATAATTTTTTAACAAAGGTTAATTACTTACGTTGCGGTTGTATTAATTAAATTAAAAGTAATTTTTTTCAAAAAATTTGCCTGCCAACTCATTTGACCAATAAGTACAATGACTAAAGGAAAATGACACTTTCCTAATAGCAATGAAACTTTTAGGTCTTAATATATTTTATTACAGAAAATTAATAAATTTTAAACACTGTATATACAATTAAAGACAGTACCATAAGCGTTTCTTGTTAATCAATTCATTATGACAATTAAAAAATATAGATATATTGATATTACCTATTCCATTATGTATTCGTCTGATAATAAAGAATCACGTTTTCTCGTAAAATCATCCACAGCATATTCCAAAAATTTATATTCGTCTTCTCTATATATCCTAATATACTCCAATTCACGCGAATTTTTGCCACTTTCCATCATTTTCAGAACTTTCTCATTGGTTTGTTTAAAATGTGATAAAAGGTGTTCTACATTTTCTAGAATAAGAGAAGTAACTCGACCTTCGATTACTGGATATATAGGTAATTCATTGACAGCATTATCCAATTCATCAAGAGTATGAATAATTTTATCACCAATTAATAAATTAACAAGTTCGTTAAAGCTTAATAATTCATATTCATTTAATAATAGGATTTCTAGCTTTTTTTTATCTTTACAGATTTCACAATCAATATCTTAAATTATTTTTTTTGTAAATAATTATATGAATTCATATAACAACAATAGACATTCTAAAAGTACAAACGTTGAATTCTAACATGTGACAGATATTGTAGCTATCAGCTCTAAAAATTGTATTTGAGTTATAGTACAAGAAATTTTTTTTTATTAATTTCATTCTGTGCTTTTTTTTAATATTTCTCTATATTTATTCTTATTAACTAAAAAGCTATTTAGCTATTTAGTTTTATTAACTAATTTTGTTATATTATTAGATTTTAAAGAGTCTGTAATAGAAAGCTGAAGGATATACATTGTGCAATAAATATGAATTATGTTAAGGTTGATTAGCTTTGACTATTGATATTGTATTGTTTGTTGTTCCAGAAATACATTTTTCTAAAATATTCTATTTTGTAAATTCATACCTTAAACAGTTATCAATATGTTCTTTAATATGAGGGTAAGAAAATTCTTCAATGATCATAAGTATTTTATTTAATTGAAAATTAGGGTCAAGCTAATAAGCAGTGATTTCAATATATAGTTTATGCATATTTGTTTAGAGATTAGTTGTAAATGAAAAGATATCTATAGTGTTTTGAAAAAGATCAAATATTTTATTTTCTTCAAAGCTAATAGCTTCATTATTTTTTTTAAAAATATGTTTTGGAACTTGATAATGTAATTCAGCTTCATATACAAAGACATAAAATATTTCATTATCTAAAACATTAAATAGAAGTATATCGTCAACTATCTATGCTAGAAGTCTAGAAGTTAGTTTATCTTTTTTTTTAGAAGACAACAATGGTTGATGTTTTAATATATCTATTAATATTGATTGTATAGGATCTTTTTGGTTATATTAATAGATTTTTTAGAAACTGTCTTTTTGAATATTTCTGATAATAGGATTAATAAACTATTTTCTGATAAACAATATACTGTATGCAAATAAGTATCAAGTGTATTTGTACTAGTAAGAAGTGCAAATGATTCACTACATGATTTTATTTTTCTGTTTTTTTTACTTTAACTAAACAAATTAGTTCTTTTTTTATAAACTTATCTTTTCATATATGCTTCTACACCCAACTTTTTTCAGATTTTGGTTTTTTGTTTGACGATATAACAAAAGCTGACTTGTGTTTTTCAATATTTTGTAGTGGTTAAATATTGAAAGTATCAGAACAATCAAAAATATTATTTATTAAAGTAAAATTTTAAGAATTATTTAATAATAAAGTAGATTATTTAGAGTTATATAATGAAGTTAAATGTTTAGAAGCATATAACAGGAAGGTAGAATATTCAATATTAGGAAATAAAGCAGTATATTCAAAATTACATAGTGATAAAGATTTTACGAGTATAGCAGAAATAGAATTAGAAATATATAAAAGCAAAGTAGAATCTTCAAGATTAAGAAAAATAAAAAATTCATGGTTTTGTGGTGATGAAAATGATTCAAAAGGTACAATGAAAATAGAATTGTATTCAAATATATTATCAGAAGTGTCTTTTAATTCATATTGAAATGTAGAATTTCCCTGTTCTATTTTAAAATATAGATGCTGGGTAATGGAAAAAATGATATAACAGTATTGTTTGCAAATTAGAGTAAAAAACAATTAATAGGATAATAATAATTCTTTTTAAGATTTTTAGAATAAATTTTGTTGCTTAATTAAAGGTGAGTTAGAGTTTGATTGAGTTATTATTAACCTATCAAATTAATTTTTATTAACTTGAATTCTTTTTATAAAAATTTTTTTTTTTTTTTACTTAAAAGTCAATTCATTTAATCTAATCATTTAATCAATAGTTAACACTAATTATTATTATATTTGAGACTTTGAATTTTTTTTTTTTACTTCTTTTTCTTATAAATTTCAATATAAATCTTTTTATACATTTATACAGCCCCTTTAATTTAACTTTATTAATTTCTCTTTTCATCTTGACTATGGTATTAATAATATATATTTTTTGGATTAGTATTAGTAAATCTGAACTAAAAAACTGTGATATCATATGAATGAAATCACTAGAATTTGTTATCAATGAAAATAATAGTTAATTACATTTTGAATGATTTATTCATGAATTCAATATCAGTCAACCGATTTGTCACATCTAAATTTTTTATATAAACTTATAGCAAAAACATATAGAATTACATATAAACTTTATTGCGATGATGTTTCTTCTTTTACATATTAACTTTAAATTAAATTTTATGAATAAATACATCAATAAAAGGAGAATAAAATGCTTTCAAAGTTGAATTAAAATTTTGCAATTTTTGTACTGTCAAAAGAAAAAATTTAACAGTTTTAAAATAAAAAATATATATAAAATTATATTCTAAACAACTTTCAGTTAGTGAATAAAAAATGCTATCTTAGTAAAAAAAAAGTTTTCTATATACTAATATCAAATTTTCAGTTTTTCTATATAAAACTTTTTCTGTTTAGATAACCTGTTCTGACCTCTTAAGCAAATTTGTTCAGTAAACAATTTTACATATTTTGTGTTTTGTCAATTTTGTTTTTTTTGAACATTTTACTAAGTAAAAGATTGGATCAAAAATTATATGAAAAATTTTTTAAAAAAAATTTTTTTAAAAAAAATTTTAAAACAGGTTATCTAAGCAAAAAAAAAGTTTTATATAGAAAAACTGAAAATTTTGACATTAGAATATAAAAAACTTTTTTTTACTAAGATAACCTTTTTTATTCACTAATTGAAAGTTATTCAGAGTATAATTTTATATATATTTTTTACTTTAAAACTGTTAAATTTTTTCTTTTGACAAAGTTACATTTTTAAATTCTACAAAAATTGCAAAATTTTAATTCAGCTTCAAAAGCATTTTATTCACCTCTTCTTGATATATTTATTCATAAAATTTAATTTAAAGTTAATATATAGGGAAGAAACATCATCATTGCAACAAAGTTTATATATAATTCTATATGTTTTGTTATAATTTTATATATAAAAAATACTCTATATATAAATTTTGTAACAAATCGGGTAACTGATATATCAAATCATATTTTTTGATAAATAAAAGCAACATATGATTGAATATTTAGTTGAAATCATAAACTTGTTAATATTCTGTAACAAGTTCTTGATCTTTGTGCTAATTTGATACCTTACAGCTTTAAATTTTATACTTTAATAGCTTTTATAATATTAATCACTTTATTAATTCAAAATGCATATAGAAATCAGAATGCCATCAGTATTTAATTAGTGTGATACATTATTCTCTTTCAAGTATAATTTTATTGATCTTTTTTTTTAAAAAAAATCTTTTATTATTATTTACTGATTATTAATTCTATTTTTGAAATGTACTAGAACTTTGGTATAATTTATTGGTTACCTGATTTTTAATTGATCAATCAATTCCTAAGGTTACAAAATTTTAGCGAGGTCAAATTAAATATATTCTAATTAACAGGACCTAGACAATTTTATAGCAAATATTTCATAAATTCTAATTTTCAAAAAATATTTATACAGTATTTTCTTGATAACATTTCTGACAAGATATTTCTTTAATATTTATTCTCTGATCAGTAGTTACTTTCAAACAAAGTTATTTTATCTGACAATATTCAAATTAGAATAAGTATATATGTTTTTTTTGCTATGTTCAGAAGTAATTAGAAAAATTACAGCATTTATAGGACTTATGAATGCCTGCCTATGCCAGTATATTAAACATTATGTCTGACATTAGTGTTTGAATGGTTGCTTGCATCTATGAATACAAAAGCTCTAGACATTTCATAGACACATATGTTAAGTTTTAAGCACTTTTGAGTTGAGCATTTTGTACTCTAATATATAGTAATTTAAACTAACTCTTTCATACTTATAAAGTACCTGATATGTGTTTAATATTTCACAAAAATGTCTAATAACTTTATACTAGATGTTTTACATCTGTGTTTATAGCTATGTCTTTTATTAGACATAGATACACAGATTCTTTGTCAAGTATATTGGTATAGTTAATTATTATAATTTATTTAATTTTTAAAATAAACTTGATTTTTGTAAAAAATATTATCTATTTAGTTATATTATATAAGTTATAAGTGGAAATAGTTTTATTTTAAAGTTGATTTTATCATATATACTTTTTAACCCTAATTTAGCTATATAAAAAATTTCAAATCTACTTAAATATCATTTCTACTTATCATATCGGTGGATTTTTGAAATTTATTATTAAAAATTCTAATAATATTTAATTGTGAATAACTTTTGATCCACTAGTCCGTTTTCAATGAAACAATTACCAAAATGTTCATCTCGATGAGACAATTCTAATAGATCCAAAATCGTTAAAATCCAGTCACAGGATCCTGAGATCGATAGAGATTTGCGTCACTTCAGGTGTTTTAGAATTGGTTAAACCAATCCTGAAACACCTGAAGTGAAACAAATTATTAATGATATTAGAATCCTGTGACTGAATTTTGACGATTTTGGATCTATTAGAATTGTCTCATCGAGATGAACATTTTGGTAATTGTTTCATCGAAAATGGACTAGTGGATCAAAAGTTATTCACAATTAAATATTATTAGAATTTTTAATAGTAAATTCTAAAAATCTGCCGATATGCAACATTTATATTGCTAACTTGTAAATCTTTATCTAAAGATGATTGAGCAATAGAAAAAGAAATTCTGTAAAATGATTTATTATTGCACACCTTATAGACTCAATTCCTATAAAAATTGATTTTGCAATGATTATATTTAATCATTATTTTAGTTATTTGATAATGTTTATTGAAGATTTGTGAAAAAAAATAACATTGTGAATTAATTATATAGAATAGAGCTCAACAAGTTAAAAATGATAAGTATTCATTTTCTGTTACTTAACTAAGAATTTTAGTATACAAAAATTTTGGTGTAATATATTTATTTTTGCTGATAATACTGTTATAGGCCAATAAAATTTGTTAAAATAAAAATTTCTAAATGTGTAATAATAAATTTTATAATGCAAAGTAAAAAAAAATATTCTTAATTATAGAATTAAATATTGTTTAAGACAGTTTATTTAATACTTAGCTAAGTCAGCTTTATAAAAATTAACTTGGTTAAGTCAACTAATCAATTTAAGTTGATTTTACATATATTGACTTGTTTCACTAGTTTAAATAAATTAGCCAAACTAATATTTAGTAAATCTCTAAAATTTAATTCTAGTATAATAAGAAAATTACTACATTTTATCACTAGTAACTAATATTAGTTTGTATCACATGATGTAATTTATAGATATTACACAAATGCATTTGACTTTTAATATATTGTATATATATATTATATTGTATACTGTATTATACTATTTTTTTTTTTTTTTTTCACTTAGGCAAAGTCGTGCCAATAAATCCTGTTTATTAAAGCTCTTCTCGTGAAAGCTGTAAGCAATAAAACTATGATC